ACAAGTAAATAAAGACGTAAACAAACCAGTAAAAACGCAAATAAACAAATAAAGACGCAAACAAACGAGTACAAACGTACATAAACAAATAAAGACGTAAACAAACGAATAAAGACATAAACAAACACATAAAAAACGTACATCAACAAATAAAGACATAACCAAACGAATAAAGACGTAAATAAACACATAAAGACGTAAACAAACAAATAAAGACGTAAATAAACAAATAATGACGTAAACAAACTAATAAAGACGTAAATAAACACATACAAAACGTAAATAAAGAAATAAAGACGTTAACAAACACATACAAAACGTAAACGAACGAATAAAGACGTAAATAAACACTTAAAGACGTAAATAAACAAGTAAAAACGTAAATAAACACATAAAGACGAAAACAAACAAGTAAAAATGTAAATAAACACATACGAAACGTAAATAAACACATAAAGACGTAAACAAACAAGTAAAAATGTAAATAAACACATACGAAACGTAAATAAACAAGTAAAAACGTAAATAAACACATAAAGACGTAAACAAACAAGTAAAAATGTAAATAAACACATACAAAAGGTAAACAAACGAATAAAGACGTAAACAAACGAATAAAAACGTAAATAAACACATACGAAACGTAAATAAACAAGTAAAAACGTAAACAAACGGATAAAGACGTAAATAAAGAAATAAAGACGTAAATAAACACATACAAAACGTAAATAAACGAATAAAGACGTAAATAAACACATAAAGACGTAAACAAACACATGATAAACGTAAACAAACGAATAAAGACATAAATAAACACCTGACGACGTATGTAAATGTGTTTGTTTACGCCTTTATGTGTTTATTTACGTTTTTACTGATTTGTTTACGTCTTTATTTGTTTGTTTACGTTTTTACTTGTTTATTTACGTTTCGTATGTGTTTATTTACATTTTTACTTGTTTGTTTACGTCTTTATGTGTTTATTTACGTTTCGTATGTGTTTATTTACATTTTTACTTATTTGTTTACGTCTTTATGTGTTTATTTACGTTTCGTATGTGTTTATTTACATTTTTACTTGTTCGTTTACGTCTTTATTTGTTTATTTACATTTTGTATGTGTTTATTTACGTCTTTATTCGTTTGTTTACGTTTTTACTTGTTTATTTACGTTTCGTATGTGTTTATTTACATTTTTACTTGTTTGTTTACGTCTTTATGTGTTTATTTACGTTTCGTATGTGTTTATTTACATTTTTACTTGTTTGTTTACGTCTTTATGTGTTTATTTACGTCTTTATTCGTTTGTTTACGTTTTTACTTGTTTATTTACGTTTCGTATATGTTTATTTACATTTTTATGTGTTTATTTACATTTTTATGTGTTTATTTACGTTTCGTATGTGTTTATTTACGTTTTTATTCGTTTGTTTACGTTTTTACTTGTTTATTTACCTTTTGTATGTGTTTATTTACGTTTTTATTCGTTTGTTTACGTTTTTATTCGTTTGTTTACGTTTTTACTTGTTTATTTACGTTTCGCATGTGTTTATTTACGTTTTTATTCGTTTGTTTACGTCTTTATTCGTTTGTTTACGTTTTGCATGTGTTTGTTTACGTCTTTATGTGTTTATATACGTCTTTATTTGTTTATTGGTTTGTTTACGTTTTTATTTGTTTATTTACGTTTTTACTTGTTTGTTTACGTTTTTATGTGTTTATTTACGCCTTTATTTGTTTATTTACGTTTTTTATGTGTTTATTTGCGTTTTTATGTGTTTATTTACGTCTTTATTCGTTTGTTTACGTCTTTATTTGTTATCTTAATTATAAAGACGTAAACAGACACATAAAGACGTAAACAAACAAATAAATACGTAAATAAGTAAATAAAGAAACATAAACTGAACAAGGAATGATTGTGGAACGACAAGAAGTCGCATGCAGAATTCCTTTTGAAATGCAGTGATTGTGTGGATGCATCCACTGTCTTTCGTGCACCTATCGTGCGTTCATCGAGACGATATTAATTATTAATTTAATTTTGCTAAACAAATGTTCGTGACGTGGCGAAGTTTTATGGTGAAAAAAACAAATTTATCAAGATCCTGATCAACAATTCTTGAACAATTTGATAAGTTGGTTCGAATAAGTGAATGGCAAGTCATTTGTATAATAGTTTATTGATAATAGTAATTGAGAATATAATAGTAATTGAGAATATTTGATTTCCTCAATGATCAAATAATTGAAAATAATTTCTTGGACTCTCTTCCATATCTGCATTTTATATCAATGCATTTATATCAATAAACCCTATTGGGTATACATATAAAAACAAGTATCGCATAAGTGTTATACCCGATTGTAATTACCCTAGTTGTACAGCCAAAGCGAACCTATTGATCCATCTATTTAGAAAAGAGAAAAAGAGAAAAAGTCGGGAATCTCGAATTAGAAATTCACGTGATCGGGGCAAGGACCGGCGACTTTCGTCTCTCGACGTACCGATCGCCAACTAAAAAAAAAAAAAAAATACATACTGCCAAAGAAAAAAGGATACGTGTCCGAGATCCCACGCTTCTTGAAAATTGCCGAAAGCGGAGGAATGAAAAAAAAAAAAAAAAAAAAAAAAAAAAGAAAGGAGCGTAATGGATGCTCAAGATCTGTTACAAGCATTGACGTGTCAGGTGTTTCCACCAGTTTCGAACAACAGTATTGCTTCTTGGGACGATCGAAGCGAGAAACGCGAAGGATGCGCGTTGTTAGCCACCTTTCTCCTAATTGACCGAGCTAGAAGAGAAGAGGAGGTTCTGCGTTGCGCCAGCGCTTAGCAGGGCCCTTGCTACGTCACTGCGGGCCCCCGTGACACACATCAATGGGCCGAAATGTAACGGTACCCTTCGCGGTGACCTACTCTCGGGGTGACGCGAGCTCTCTCTTCCTCCGGTTCTCTTTCCCCCTTTCTTCCCCCTTGCTCGCGCTATCTTTCTCCTCTTCTCTGGCTCTGTCTCGGTTGCTTCTCGGTCAAGCGAACGTCGAACGCGGCACCGAGGACTCCGAGGAGGCATCGCCGTCGCCAGCGATCGGTTATCGAGCACTTCGAATCGACTCGAACCGTGAAATGCGTTCGTATCACTTCGAATGCGACTCGATCAATCGGGAATCTTGATCATCTTCGAAGTCTTGTAAATTCTGTAAAATCTTGAACTATTGAAAAAGATAGAAACTTTCAGAGCATTTATCGATTTCGATATACAGCCTTGTATCTTAATATCAGTCCGACTTGTCGAGTATATCAATGAACAGCATAATACTCTTCTGGCTGATCAAAGACAAATATTCGAGAGTATTCAAAAAGTATTCGTATCCTTAAAATCCTTCGTGTTCGCGAATTAGAATTTTTTAATATTTCATACCTCAAAGGTTGTCCAATGTTTTTAATTGAAAACTTGTTGCTAAATTTCAAGCTGATAATGAACATCACGTGCTGGAATGGAATTTTTACCATTTCTAGTATTTCGAAGGAAAGTTTATTCCCATTTATCAATTCAGTGTAGACTACTTCCAGCTAGAAACTAAAATTGAAAGTCCACTCGACGATTAAAGTAGCGGAGGTCTTTAAGAAGACTTAACTAAAAGTTTTTAAATACCACCAACTGAACAAAAACTCCAGCTGTGAAAACTAAAATTAAAAGTCCACCTGAGGTTTAATATATAACCGAGATCTTCAAGGACTGAAATCCCTGGAATTCTTCTAAGACTGTCAAATCCCATTCGAAGAGACGTAAATTTTGAGAGACCCGAGAAAAGAAAAAAAAAAGAAAGAAAGAAATCGTTTCAAAACTGAGACTCGAATGCCCGCTTGTCTCTTGCTTCTTCACTGGTTTCCGTACTTTTACCGAGGAAACCCGTGGCTGTCGCACGCGACGCCGGCTGATTACACGGTCAGTAATGAAAGCGTCCTGCTCGCGCGCGGAGGTGCTGTCATGTAGCCGCGTACCACCGCCTGTGTCGTGTGCCCCTGTCGTTTTTTTTTTTTTTTACGCCGGCAAGCAGTCTGTCCAGTGAAAACGATTTTACGCCTTCGGACTAGTAGTAGCGTGATCGACTGGTCAGGAGTTGTAACAGTTGGACCACCAACGCTTGCCGGTCCAAACGAATCCACGTCACAAACGCGAGTTATGAATGTGATCGTGTGTCTCGTTCTCCAGGTGAGCGCGTTTACTATACGTTTCGTTTGAGCTGCTCGTTGCTCAGGTTTTATTAGATGGAGTGTAACGAGTATGTAGGTTGCGTATGTTTCACGCCTTTTCGATGTTTGTTAGTCTGTGAACTGCGTAGCACGGTTGCTTTGAACGTGAGATATTTATGCCTTCGGTTGCGCAGATTGATTTAGAACGAAGAAAGGGAAGTAAACGAATTCTTTAAAATATGAATAAAAAGAAAGAATGATAGTACGGCAGAGTGTCAATTTTTAGGCATTTCTATGAGCATAAACTAAAGAAATAGGAATTTGGACATTTTATATTTTTTTATATTTTGCGTATGATAAACCGTAGCCAATTAATAAAAATGACTGATTTAACTTCGATATCTATGCCGTAAATTTGGGCCATTATCTCGACTAATAATTATTACTAAACTGTGAATCTTTAAGCATTTGTGGGAAATTTCTAGATATAGAAACACATAAAATGCACCAGGGATGTGGAAAATGTTTAGTACTCGACGAATAAAATAAAATAATCAGATAAGGTGTTCAAAATACATCAAATACTATTAAAGTTCACGGAAGAAAAACTTCGAACTAAGGAAATAGATAGACTGATCGATTAAAAAGTAAATAAATATAAAATCTCTGAAACCTGTTCTTATTCAATATACAGTATCCCAGGTTTAAACGATCAAACTTTATCAGTATACTCCATGAGTAGAGGAACAACAAGAAGAAGAACGTTAACACTTATAAACGTGGCACCATAAATTCTTAATAAAAAGAACTTGTGATGTAATCTAATAACTACGTATTCGTTCTTGAGATATATCATATGACATAAATCAAATTCTTTATACATTTTTATAAAGCGTGTAAGTAAAAAAGTAAGTCCTTCTCTCTCATTTTAACTCATAGAATGTACTGATGAAGCTTGATCGTTCATTTAAACAGACATAAATGCAGACACTTAATATTTTTAGTTTGATGTCTGCATAGGTGATCACATATCAGCTTGCAAGATGTCAAGGAGGTGGACCAAGCACCTTTGGATACGACGCGTCCTCCGCTTGCAGTAAACCATACTCTCGTGCTGGCCGTGCACGGTTTGCAAATCTACCTTGTGATTTTCGACAGCAGAACTGGTGCACAGTAGCCGGTAGCTCTTATCCTTGGTAGGAATTCTTTGAAACTGACATATACATAATTTTTATTCAACGATCTTCAATGATTTTAAAATTATTTCACTGCGAAATAAAGAATTTCATTCGTATTAATAAATCGGTTGTAGCGTTAGAAAATAAAATAAACAATAGTTTGTTCATCCTTTTGAAAATTACACTACATTCATTGACGGTAGAAAGCTAGTTGACAACACGTGCAGAGACATACCTGTGGAGGTTTTACTGTTCAAAGGTATCGCTGCTGATATGAATTTTAAGCATGACGTTGAATGCTTCAGTTATTAATATACTTTTACTCTCGACAATGCGTACGTTAATTCGAAATGCTGCGGTCTCGGTGATAAAAAAGATTCGAAGCTATGAAAATTGATTGAAATTATATCCTGGTTTAATGGATTATATTTGTCATGAATTATTGTTAAAAATTTGTCAAATTGAAAGAATGTTCGTTAAATTAAAAGAATTGCTATCTTATGTTATTCGATAATTTTAGGCACGCGGTTCGTCGTTTCGTGCAAGAGAACCAAGGATTAATGAGGCGCATGTACGGTGACGAAAGGCACATCAATGTATTAAGAGCCGAATTCGAGAGAAACGATATAGAACTAAAGTACGACGACTATTACCATGACTATAGGTAAGTTCGTTCGCTAAAAAATAAACGAAAGGGCAAGAAATTAGTTAGAAAAAATTACCGAATTATAATATTTTTCGATAGAATGAACTTAGCTGTCCCTGACAAAATCATATTCTATAACTTCTTCCTGTCGCATGATCTTCTCGTACAATTTCTCATCTTTGCCAACAATTCTCCAGAAAATATCAGTACACGCACGACTACGAGTACTTCGAGCCAGAGGACAGCCTAAAATTAAACAACAACGAGTACGAGGGACGAAGCTTCACCAGCAGATCCTTCAACGACAACGCCGCGAAACGGCTGAACAAATTCCCGAAATTGAGCGAGTACACGAGGCCTCATTTCCGGCCGACCGAGAAGACCACCGTCTCGACTTCCACCACCACCACCATGAGGACATCGTCCACGACTACCACCTCGTCCGCCAAGGAAACGTCGTCGTCGAGCACGTCGTCAACGATAGACTTCACGACCAGCCGTGAACCAACCACGCGATCCACGCCCGCGACAACGAGTAGTCCACTGATAAATAGTACGAACGAAGAAAAAGGAAACCCGCCGGACGGGGTGACAGTATCGCCCGTGGCAACGAGCTCTTACGCAGTGAAAGAGCAGAATTTCAGTATCAACGAGATCTCCGAGCAGATAGACAAAGCTGACGAGACGGAGGCGGAGAAATCCGGCGAGGTCGCCGACGTATCCGAATCGAGCCTCGAGGAAACATCGACGATCAATTTGCCGAATGTCACTGAATTACCGGACGAAGGGGATAACGTCGAGGATTTGTTCGCCACGCCGAAAGAGACGACTGTTCATCAGGCGGAGACGTCGAGTTCGAGCGAGGAGCAGGATTTCAGGCCACGACCGGAATATCGACCCGTCGGTAAGCCGGAAGCTTCGACTATGGAAGGTCAGCTGTATCAGGACGTCGTGGCGAAAGATCAACAGGAACAACCGGTTCTGAAGCTTCGAGGAGTGTAAGTGTCCTTTCGTTTTGTTTCCGCTGCTTATGAATTTGCCGAGGGTGTTTCACTTTTGTTCGACGGCGGTTCTTGATGCTAAACAGAGTTAATATTCATAACAGAATGTTATAGAAATTGGAAAGTAATTTAGATTTTTTTTTTTTT